GGCTCACTTTCTAGCCAAGTCGCTCTGAGTTTTCTCCTGCCTTGCAGGTCAAAGTCCTCTTGGGAGAAGACCGCGAAGCGACGGGGATGCTGCTGAGCATTGACGGGGAAGACGGCATCGTCCGCATGAACCCAGAAGAGCAGCTCCGAATCCTCAACTTGCGTTTCCTGGGCAAACTCGTAGAAGCTTAAAGGCAGGGCAGAGAGAACACGAGTGGGGTGTGATAAGGGGGGGGGGGGCTTGGTCGCGTTTTCTTCTTCCCTCTTTTTTTCACTTAGCCGGTTGCCTCCTGCCTGCACTGCCAAGGCTTTGTACAGATTTGCTCCTGAGGAAAGTTTATATTTTTTTTGGGGGGGGGGGGGTGCGTTGCACAAGTTTCTTCCTGCCGCTTCTTTTTCCCAAGCGCTGCGGGTGAGGGACAACCTAGCAATTGTGTCATGAAGAAGAGCTGCCGCCGGTGGAGCACCGTGCCCTCCATTCCCCCCCTCTTCCGTAGCACTTTATGGCCTCTTCAGCACCGAAACATCCAACCTGTAGCTTGTTTTAATAAAATCATCTCATAAAAAGATTTTACACTGTGAATGCCTCCCTACAGAAACCTTGAATTTGTCTGTCTCTCTACCTACATTACTTACTTATACAGGCAATTCTCAACTAAAAACCGCAATTTAGGCCAAGTTTTATGTTGCCATTCGTCAAGTTGAGTTTTGCCCCATTTTACGACTTCCACATGTGTTAAGTGAATCACTTCAGCTGTCAAGTTAGCAACATTGGATATTAAGCGCATTCCCCATTATCAGAAGGTCTCCAAAGAGAAATGACGTGATCCCCGGGACACTGCAACTGTCATAAATATGAGTCAGTTTCCAACAGAGTTTTGATCGTGTGGCTACAGGGATGCTGCATAAGTGTGAAAAATGGCCCCGTCACTTTTTTCAGTGCTGTTGCAAAATGAAGTCAAGGACTATGTTATGCTTCCCATCTCAACGAGGGTAATTCTGGCCAGCTTACAATCAAAGCCAGGCACTTGGCAACTTTTAAGTCTTGTGGACTTCAACTCCAAATTCTGGGAGTTGTAAAAGTTGCCAAGTTTGGAGACCTCTGCAATAAGATAAAACTATTTAATTTTAATTTAATTAAAATTAATATTATTTTGATACTATCAGCGCTAACTGGATGCCTTGGTTGTATAACGTGTAAAGGGGGCGGGGGTTTTTCCTTTTTTAAGGCACGTGTTTTGCTCTTCACACGTGCCTGGCTGTCCCTTCGGCTCTAACCTTGTCGCTTTCCGGCAAGACCGGTAGGGAAGAAAACGTTCCGCCCCCTTCGCTTTCTAGCCAATGGGAACTGCGGCGGTTTATTTTAATAAAAAGCTTTGGTCTCACGCCCCCTTTGAGGCACGATTGGTCGGAGAAACCTGGGAGGCGTGGAGCTGGCTGGCGGATTGGGTACCGTGACAAATCCCGCTTCTGTTATTGGACGAAGGGCGGGCAGTCCGGCTACGGCGGGGAGGGGGGCGGCAAGTGGCCACTTTTCGCTTTCTTGATTGGTCGCCTCAGTTTTCCCCAGCCACGGCACGCGCTCGACGCCCCCCCCCCCCGCCTCCTCGCTCCTGATTGGCCAAGGGCCGGCGCAGGCGCGAGGGGCGTCCCCGAGCAAAGATGGCCGCGGTGGTGGCTGCCGCTCGTGTTCTGTCTGAGGCGGCTCTGACGGGCGGGCTGCGGGCGTTGCGGGGCGGCGGCGGCGGGTGCCGGCGCTGGAAGCGGGGCGGCGCCTGGGCGCTGTCGGGGCGGACGTGGAGCTCGGGGGCTCCTCCGGGGGTCCCTCCTCAGGCGAAGGCGGCGGGGCCGGGGCTGACCGGAGCCGTCCTGAGGGAGGTCGCCCAGCAGCAGCAGCAGCAGCAGAAGGTGAGGGCCGGCCAGGCCAGGCCGTCGGGGGCCACCGCCACCCTCCCGTGGCGGTTGGGCGGCCATCACGGAGGCCTCTGCAAGGGTCGGGCTCCAGGGGTTGGGGTCCCGGGCCTCGCCTACTGGATGCTCGGAGTGTAAGTCGTAGGTTAAGCCAAGCCAGAAGCGGCAGCCCAGACGCCCACCCGCCTTTCAGGGCGAGCTCAGAGACGGGCCTTCAGTGAGCATCAGAGTGGAAGTCCTGAGGTGGGCGTCCTGTCATTCAAAAATGCAGGTAGTCCTCTACTTACGACCATTCGCTTACTGACCATCCAAAGCCACAGTGGAAGTGGAAAAAAACCCTGATTCGTGGCCCTTTTCCCACTTGCGACCCTTGCCGCATCCTCATAGTCACGTGATCAAAATCCAGTCACTAATGAACTGACTCATATTTACGACGGTCGCAGTGTCCCTGAGTCATCAAGAAGCCACCTTTGGTGACTTCTGACAAGCAAAGTCAATGGGGAAGCCGGATTCACTTTACAACTCCAAATTCAAACCTTTATTGTCGGAATACAACATGCATACAATGAGATTGGCTGAGCCTCCAGTGCAAAAAAAAGGACATGGCTGTTTTTTACGCTTACGACCGTTGCAGTGTGGCCGTTAGTGTGAAGAAACGGTGGTCACGTGATCAAAATTCGGTTGTTTGGCAACTGGCTCATACTTAGGATGGTTGCAGTGGTCATGAAATCACGGGATCCCCTTTTGCTGCGGCCGTCTGACAAGCAAAGTTAATTGGGGAGCCAGATTCACTTATCAACTGTGTTACTAAACAGCTGTGGGGATTCACTTAATGTTGACAAGAAAGAGTGTAAAATGAGGCAAAAATCACTTAACAACTGTCTCACCACTGGAAATGTTGGGTTCAATTATGGTCCTAAGTGGAGGACTACCAGCATATGGTTTCTGCAATTGTGCCCTACCTCCATTCAGGCTTTTCTCTCTCTCTCTCTCTCTCTCTCTCTCTTTCTCCAGTCAACAGGAGAAGAAGATGGGAAAGGCTCTGATGAACAACAAGAAAAGACAAAAAAGCAGAACCCCACCTATACAAAGAGACTGCTGCAGATAGTAGGCCTTCTCGGAGCTGGCAATGGCGTAGCAATTATCTACATCTTTGGTAAGTCACCTTTCGGCCTGTGAATTCACGGGACGCCCAAGTTAAAATCAGCACCGGTCAGTGCATCATATCGAAACTCCCTTCTTTGGTTTATGATCAATCTGAATTGTTGCAGTTGTACCCTGGGGCCAGGTCTCTGGATAATATCTTCCAGGTACAGTGTTTGTGTTGATGGGGGTTTCTGTGTGAAATCAAACTATACATGACAGTGCTCTGAAGGTGAAGGGTTGAATAGTTTATTGCCAAAATGGTTACTTCAGGTCTTTAAGATACTGGCTATGTCCTCTTTGTTGGCATTAGTGATTCTTTGGTCAGCCTGGAAGATTGATTGATGGAAAGAATTGTGTTTAGTTTTATTTCTTTATCCTAAACCTAGTTCCATTGTTGGTAGGAAGTGTGATGAGATGAGGTCCTCAAGATTCATATGTACGTCTCCCCAGGCTATTAAATGGCTCCCTATTTCTCATTGTTGACAAACATTTCTCATTCTTTCACTCACTCACTCACCCTCTTTCCGACAGGTCGTAATTCAGTGGATGAAAATGGTGTGAAGGTAGGATGCTTTATTATCTAAAAGAAATTTTCTTGTTAACTAGGTGGCTGCCACTAGGGGTCGTTCAGTGTTCAAAAGATGCTGGACAGTCTAAAGTCAGTTGTTGTACCTGTTTTATCAGAAGCACAGAAGAGTTTAATTTGAGCTCCAAATAAATTTATTGTCTGTAAAAATTGACTAGGAAAAGCAAGCGATGAAATGTGTTGAATGCTAGCATTGCAAGGATTATATATCCCTATAGAGCAGAGATGTCCAGTCTTGGCAACTTCTAAGACTTGTGGACCCCATGCACTGGCTGGGGAATTCTGGAACTTGAAGTCCACAAATCTTAAAGTTGCCAAGGTTGGACACCCCTGCTGTGGAGAAAAACTCCTTTGCGCGCAAGCTTCCAAAATAGCAATCACCTGCTTTTTCATTGTGGTGGTTGGTCCTTTAGATGGTAGCAGCCCTGAAAGGCCACTTAGACTGGGAATGGAAGTTTTTCAAGTTCACCAGGAGACCTTGATTAGACTCGAACCTACCGTATTTATCGGCGTATAACACGCACTTTTTTCCCCCTGAAAATAGGGGGCAAATGATGTATGCGTGTTATACGCCGATATAATGTTAAGAAGCCTTCGGTGAATGCTGCTGGGATCGGGGATCAAGGACACAAATGAAAGAAGGGGAGGGAGGAAGCAACCGAAGCCTGTCCTTCTCTCTGGGTCAGCTCTGTCAGTCGCTCTCTCGCTCCTCCACCAGCACAGGAAGAAACTGCTTCAAAGAAGCGGGGGGGGGCTTCCCTGAAGCGCCCGTTTCTCCCCCACCCCCACCCCGCCCGCCCGCAGTGCTCCGTTCTGCCTGCCTGCCTGCCTTCGTTAATGGTTGAATCGGAACAGCTTCGGCTGAGTAAAAGAGGCGAATAGTTATTATTCTCAGCCGAAGCTGCTCCCAAACAACCAGAAACTAAGGCAGGCAGGCAGGCAGGCAGAATGGGACACTGTGGATTGAAGCGCGCGCGGGGGGTGGGAGTGGGGGTGAAACGGGCGCTTTCCTGAAATTTCCCTCTTAAAATGAAGATGCGTGTTATACGCCTGTGCGTGTTATACGCCGATAAATACGGTATTTATTCCATGTTGACATCCAGCATTCTAGCTCTGGCCTTGTGCAGTGAGGTGGCAGGAATTGCTGAGCTCCAAAAATAACCAGCTCAAACTCCCGGCCTCAAATCTGCCCCCTCAGCAGTCCTAGCAGGACTTCACAGTTGCAAAAAGAAAGGAGGAGGTTGTGTGAGTGGTGACCTTCTTAATGGCAGGTTTGCAATGTTCCAGTTTTGTTACAGGTAGTTGTTGACTTAAAACCATTTGTTTAGCAACCATACAAAGTTACAATGGCACTGAAAAAAGTGACTGACAGGCAGGAATAACTGCTGCAGCATCCACATGGTGGCATCATCAAGATTCAAGCACCTGTCAACCAGCATGTATTTACAATGGTTGCACTGTCCTTTTGGGGGGCATCATGTGATCAGCATTTGCAACTTTCCCAGCCAGCTTCCAACTAGCAGAGTCAATGGGGGAAGCCAGATTTGTT